GTGTGTGTGTGTCTGTGTGTGTGAGAGTGTGAGTGAGTGAGTGAGAGAGTGTGTGTGTGTGTGTGTGTGTGTGTGTGTGTTTTGAGAGTCCAGCTGCACACAGACGTTTCTTTTCAGTCCATCGTAGTTCTTCATGCGCAAAGCCTTTGAAAAGCAACAGCAAACCCACACTGACGCACAGCTGAGAGCGCCTGACTGATGGATCTGGTCTAGACCTGGTCTAGATCATCCACTGGTCCTGGTCTTGATCGGCTCCTTCCATGTCGACCTGTCAGCGACAATCAAAACTCACAGCTCAACTCACATCAAAACTGATTTTGGTTTATGCAAGCAATTGTTAAAAAAGAAAAATATCTTTATATATTTAATATTAAAATCAATGGGTCTCATTGATTAAACATGCATGACAGGGTTATTTTGGTATCATTGAGATACTATTATACTTTTTATTAATATTTTGAATTAGTTTTATTTTTATAATTTTCTGTTTTCATCTTAATTTTAGTTTAAGTTATAGTAAATTAGTTGTGTTTTTGTCAGTCAGTTTTTATCTCTCTCTCTCTGTCTATATATATATATATATATATATATATATATTTCTAATTTTAGTTATACTTATTTTAGTACTTTGTTAAACTAAATAAAAATGAGAAACTTTGCCTTTGCAACTGGGTGAGATAAGATAATTTTAGGGTTTTGTTTAACATTTTTTTATTTCAGTTTATTTTATATAATGAATCAATGAATGTTTGTTTATAGTTTAAGTTGTAGTTTTAGTTAACTATAATAACCCTGGTGCATAAGCACAAATTAAATTAAATGAAATCTGCATACAAATGTTTTGTTTTAGCAAATTATGATTATTTACCAATAACTGTTGCACTAAAATTTATTCCAAATTTATGGGAAAATGTGGAAATGAAACTTCATATGCAAAAATTTATTTTCTGTTTTCATTTTAATTGTAGTTAAAATTTTAATAATAATTTTTAAAGAGTGTCAGTGTGTGTGTGTGACAGAGTGTGTGTGTGTGTGTGTGTGTGTCTTGACCTCATTAATTTCTCCATCATCAGGAAACTCGTTGTAGATGTTCATGTCGTCCATGTCCTGCATGTCTTCATCGTCTTCTGAGTCTTCCTCGCTGTCCTCCTCGTCTTCATCGTCCTCCTCCTCTTCCTCATCGAAGGTCTTTCAGGAAGGTAAAGCACACGTTACACACTCATCCAGCGACAGGAATCACATCTCAGTGTCTCACACTCACCTCAAAGATGGGCCGACCGATGGGCATCAGGTTATGTTACCATGGTATAAAAACACAGTTTTCTATTATATGTCCAAATCAACCTGTTATAATATGCACGGTATATGAACACTAAACAAGTGAGGCTTCTTAAGCTGTATCTGTCGCCCCCTGGTGGCCGGAAGTTATAACTGCAAGTTATTTAGTAAAAACTGGTCTCACGCTCTCTCTCACACACACACACTCACACACACACTCTCTCACACACACACACTCTCAAACACACTCACGCACACTCTCTCACACACACACACACACTGTCAAACACTCTCACAAACACACACACTCACGCACACTCTCTCTCTCACACCTCTCACACACACACACACTCTCTCTCTCACACACACACACTCTCAGACTGACCCAGGTCTGGTGCTGTTGCTCCTGCTGTTGCAGCTCTGCTTCATCCACACACGGTCGGTCCAGATTAAACCACAGAGACTCGGTCACACGCGGGAACAGAGACGGGAACAGGCTGGACATCTCTGCACACAGTAAACATTCACTTCTATGGTAATGCCACGCTTTTATGATGTGATTGCTTTGAGTAATACATAATTACTCAAAGAAAAATCATGCAGTTAATTACTAACTGCATGATTTTTGCTGTACATTTCTTCCATATGGACATCACCCTGACATAGTCACCACTGATAAGCTACTCCTAAATATAATCTAGAAACTTTAATTTTCTGTGAAGCTGCTTTGCAATGATTTGAATCGCGAAAAGCGTTATACAAATAAACGTGAATTGAAAAGTAATACATAAATGCATAGCATCACTAATAAAATACCTTGGTATTACCATGCTTTTTTCACATGCATAATACTGCATTTTTACAACACATTATGATATTCTTATACGTTTTTTTGAGTATTATATAAATGCATGGCATTACTAAAAAGTACCACGGTATTACCATGTTTCACATCTTATGACATAATATTCTTATAAATGTTTCAGCACTGTTAATCTATGGTATCACTAAAAACACCATGGTATTCTCATACATTTCTTTGAGTTATACAAAGCCATAGCATCACTAAAATACCACGTTTTAACGTGTACTATGGCAATACCACGTTTTTATTAACACGTTATTACATATACTACCATATTTTTAGACATACACCAAGGTAGTACTATAGTTTTATTTTTAAGACGTATGTAAATACCATAGGATGTGAATTTTAACTTTATGCTATTTCTCAGAACACCACAGTATACTTCCACAGTTATTCTTCATCATAACAACACTGAACATTACACAAACAGAAGCGACACGGAATTCTATACTCCGCCGTTCGGTCACTTAAATGCATTTACATGACTAAATACCATCTCTGATTAATTTTAATTAGAGTAATTAACATATTTTTACCTGCAGATGCGCAGAAAGTTCAAAAGTAAACACACGGCTGGTGCTGCACTGAATGCGTCCCCCCGGAAACACACCATCCAGCGCTCTTTAGTTCCGCCGCTCACTGAAAGCGAGTGCCTGCTGAAGGTAGGCTCTAGTTTATAGTTACACATACAATGCTCATTTGTTGAAAGAAACACTTCTTTAAATTATATTTTAAACGATCATTATTGCGGCTTGCCCACTTCAGACATTAAAGTCCGCATGAAATCAAAATTGACTTTATTTAATTTACTAGCGCACATTGCTAGTCTTGATGTGAACAATTAATCAGACTTAATCACATAATTAAATGTGAACATTTGCTTCCTCTCTGGAATGGCATTCCTTCTCTGATGACGTCAGTTTGACGGCTTGGGCAGAATATCCTTAAACACGCCCCTCCAGCCGTTAGATTGCTATGAGTGAGAGACCGAGAGGAGGAGCGCAAAAATAAAACCACGCCCTCTATTCAATATTCCGTTTCTGATGGAAATACGTCACTGCACTGAAATAACACAAAAATAACACATAGTGTCACTGCAGGCCAGTGGTTTGAGTCTTACCTCTCAGATAGGTCCTTCAAGGTATCTTGGAGAGGTGAGGTGTCCAAGTCGCAACATCTAGCTACTGGGGTGCCTCAGGGCTCAGTACTTGGACCACTTCTCTTCTCTGTCTACATGGCATCACTAGGTTCTGTCATTCAGAAACATGGATTTTCATATCACTGCTATGCTGATGACACTCAAATCTACCTCTCATTCCATCCTGATGATCAGACGATAGCTGCTCGCATCTCAGCATGTCTAACAGACATTTCTTGTTGGAACTCCTTGTTCAAGCTCTTGTTCTGTCCAGGCTGGACTATTGCAATGCTCTCTTGGCAGGTCTTCCAGCCACTTCTATCAAACCTCTACAATTAATCCAATATGCCGCTGCAAGATTAATCTTTAATGAGCCGAAAAGAACACATGTCACACCTCTGTTCATCAATTTGCACTGGCTACCAGTAGCTGCTCGCATTAAATTCAAGGCATTAATGTTTGCCTACAAAACCACCACTGGCTCTGCACCCCTTTACCTAAATTCATTACTTCAGAGTTATGTGCCTTCTAGAAGCTTGCGTTCTGCAAGTGAACGTCACTTTATTGTTCATCTCAAAGAGGCACAAAATCACTTTCACGGACTTTTTCATTAACTGTTCCCTCCTGGTGGAATGACCTGCCCAACTCAATCCCAGCAGCTGAGTCCTTAGCCATCTTCAAGACACGACTAAAAACACATCTGTTCCACCTTTATTTGACCCTCTAACTCGCACTGTAACTAGCACTCTCTATTCTAATTTAATTCTACTTTATCTATATGTAGCAGGGGTATGTTGTTACACCAGATTATACATTTTATTTACTTGTATTTTATTTTTACTGATTATTTGTTAGGGGGTATTTTATTTTGAGTCACAGTATGCACGTCGGCTGAAGTCCTACGTATGTGAGAGGTTCAAATCGTAGCGCAATCGGAGTTCATCCTCTTTCCTGCAATGTCACTAGAGAGGAGAGGTACAATTTCATGAGCTCCGTTCATTTGATGATAAATTGTTTTATAGGCGTTCATTTCATGTTTAAAAGATCAACTGTGAAAAAGTGTTTCATGTGATGTTATGTTTGACCATTAGTTCGAGTTATAAATCAGTTAAATGAAGTTTATTTGAGTGCTGTTAATGGGTGAATAGTATATTGCGTGAAATGGCAGCCTGGCGTGTGCGTCGTGAGCGAGAGGTGTTAGCGGCTAACATTTTGATTAAGAGATAAAGATATATATAATGTGTATGTATAATTATATGTATATAATTGGGTATATTTTGTAAGCATACTAAAGACATATATTCTAGTTTATTAATATGATGGACATTGCATCATTGTGTGTTTTGTGGTTGACTACCTGGTGTATGTAAACATGTATTTTGCAGATAACAGCGCTTGTCTGTTTGTGTGTTTTACCGCACAGGTATGTTAATTGGCCTCCAAGAAACACTGTAATGCTGTTTTGAGTTATTTTATATAAGAATGACATGTTGTTAATTATCATAATTTATTATTATTATATACACTTTGTATTATTATATATAATGTGTATGTGTGTTGTAAAGTGTGTGTGTGTGTGCGCTCTTTCCTGCAATGTCACTAGAGAGGAGAGGCAAAAGATACCGTATTTAAGATTAACTTTAATCCTGTTGCACCGTAACTTTAAACTCAGATTTAAATCTCGTTTAACTTTAAACTTAATCGGGGTTTAAATAAAATAAAATGCACATGCAATTAAAACATGTGACTGACTGAACAAAAACAGTGGAGGTCTGACGAAAACAGGTCTCCGAGAGGTGTTTATTGCAAATAAAAATGAAAATTAAAGCCGAGTCTTTCCGAGTCACAGGGCTCAAGTCCGAGTCAAGTCTCGAGTCATTGCTGTCAAAGTCTAAGTCGGCTCTCAAGTCGTCTTTAATTACGTCGAGTCCAAGTCTCAAGTCCACACCCCTGCTAAACACAGCCCTCAAAACTCACACCGTCGCTCAGAAACCAGCTTATAAAACAGATTTACTAACCAAAATCTTATAAAAGTGTGTGAGATCAAAGGAAACCTGATTGAAGATGCACTCAACACACTCTATAAACCTTGACCACTGAGCTGATCGGTTGTGTTTCTGTTGTAATAAATGAGATCTGCTGAATGTCTGGGGTGTTTGGTGTGTTATGAGGGTTCAGGAGTCCACGAGGCACGAGGCAGGTCAGAGGGACTGTACAGTGAGGACAGAGGAGGCGTCTCATTACTGGAGTCAACACTCTTCAGGAGTCTTCATGTAGACTTTGATCCGCTGAACCAGCGACATTCACACAGTCCTGAACCTCCTGGAAAATAAAGAGCTTTAGCTGCCTTTAACTTCAGATTCTACCAGCAACATGGACATTTCTCTTTCAAGGTATGAAAACAAAGCTTACTTTATTATTTCATTCCTCACAGGGTGACTTCAGAAGATCACTGGTTTTTATGCTTCTGTTTTGCATTTTCTCTGATAAAGAGTTTAATTATTTGAATGAAAAGTTGAGAATTAAGATGAATCTGAGAAGGTTTTAGTATTTTGTCTCATTTTTGCTTTAATGACAGCGGCACAAAAATGGATTTGTCTAATAGAAATAGTGCAAAATTACTATTTATAAAATATTAAAGTATCTCCAGATCAGTCGGATTCTCACAAAAATTACATATACTTATTTATTTCACCTCAACATTTTTCTTTATTTTATTTTTTATTGTTTTATTAGTAGCAGAAGATTTTAAGAATGTTTGAGTGTTTGTTTTGTTTAATTTTTGCAGCACTAATATTTGATTAGGTACAGAATCAAATATTTATTTACTATTTATAGGATGCCATATCTACTGATTGGCTTCATCACTCTGTCTCCTCTCCACCAATAAGCTGGTGTGTGGTGAGCGTTCTGGCGCACTATGGCTGCCGTCGCATCATCCAGGTGGATGCTGCACACTGGTGGTGGATGAGGAGATACCCCCTGACAATGTAAAGCGCTTTGAGTGCCTAGAAAAGCGCTATATAAATGTAATGAATTATTATTATTATTATTATTATTAATATTAAACAAATATGTGGCTGGATTTTGATGTGAGAGACAACAGGAGATGCACTTTTTCACTGGAGGAAGAGTTATTATGGATTATGGACTCTATGGTTTTTGAGTTAGAAACGTCTTAATGCTCGATTAGTTTCAGCTTTTGTCTTCTCCAGATGTTAACTGATGGACTGGAGTGCTGTGGATTACTTGTGGATTATTGTGATGTTTTTATCAGCTGTTTGGACTCTCATTCTGACGGCACCCATTCACTGCAGAGCATCCATTGCTGAGACACTGATGCAATGCTACATTTCTACAAACCTGATGAAGAAACAAACTCATCCTGATCTCGGATGACCATTTCCTGAATGTTTGTGTCTCTCAGTGTGCTCCGTGGAGAGATAACGCCTGCTGCACAGCGAACACCACAGAAGAAGCTCATCAGGATAATTCATACCTGTACAACTTCAACTGGAATCACTGCGGCATTATGAGCGACAAATGTAAGGAACACTTCATTCAGGACACGTGTTTCTACGAGTGCTCGCCGCACCTGGGGCCCTGGATTCAGCCGGTACGAGATCATTATACAGTACTGCTCAAAACTGTGGAATAATTAAGATTTTAATGTTTCTGAAAGAATCTCGAGCTGCGTTTATTTGATCAAAAATACTGAAAAACAGTGAAATATTGTTACAATTTAAAACAGCTGTTTTCTATGTGAATATCTGTTAAACTGTAATTTATTTCTGTGATGCGCAGCTGTATTTTCAGCAGCATTACTCCAGTCTTCAGTGTCACATGATCTTCAGAAATCAGTATAATATGCTGATTTGCTGCTCGAGAAACATTTCTGATTATTATCAATGTTGAAAACATTAATATTTTTGTTGAAACTGTGATACATTTTATTTTTCAGGATTCACAGATGAATAGAAAGTTCAAAAGAACAGCATTTATTTGAAATAGGAATCTTCTGTAACATTATAAATGTCTTTACTGTCACTTTTGATACATTTAATGGATCCTTCATGAACTATTAATTTATAAAAAATATTTTTTTCCCCACAATAATATTCGGCAGCACAACCGTTTTCAACAGCAATAAATTACATTCTAACAGAAATAGAAAAAAGCTATTTTAGTCTGATTAATGCAAAAAGAGACTTCTTTCAGAAACATTCTCCTAATTATTCAAACTAATGACTGGATAGATAGATGTTAGTGGTGTGTGTCGTGAGCAGGTTTAAGCATCAGTGTTGTTGTGGTGTGTTGAAGGCCAGCGAGTCGTGGCGTAAGGAGCGTATCGTGGACGTGCCGCTGTGTCTGGAGGACTGTGAGAGCTGGTTTGAGGACTGTAAGGATGACTTCACCTGTAAAGAGAACTGGCACAAGGGCTGGGACTGGAACTCGGGTCAGTCCGCATGAGATCTGAATGAATCCAGTACTCTTTCTGAGCTGCTGATTCCAAAAATACTGTCTGTTTTGCTCTTTCACGTCACTAAATATGATGCATTTCAACGCATTTTTGCTTTTGAGAATGATTTGTGTGGTGAAGAAGTCTCGTATTGTCCCTTAATCAGCAGAAAAACACACAAACACGATTCCTGTCTGAACGCTCGGATCGATTCTCAGCTCATTTTCACACGCACGACAGGATTTGAGTCCGAATTATGATCCAGAGACAGAAGAAAATCAAACATGAGCCTGATGATTTCTGCTTTTACTGCATACAAGCAGACGCAGATATCACAGATTCTCTCTACATTTCTGTAAACGTGTAAATTTCTTTGATATTAAATAGTTTTTGAATATATTTTCTCACTCCTTTGCAAATAAGTTAAATGATAGAAATATTTGATTGCTTTTGTTATTTTGAAAAGTGCATTAAAGCTGATACATATATAGAATTAGAAAAATATTCATTCTTATTTTGTGAAAAAAAAAACTACATGAAAGATTTTACTTATATTTTTGAACTCACATGAGCTAATATTAGGCCTTTTCTGCTAATTAGCTGATTGTATATATATTTAATTATTGCACGTTGCCTAAAAAACATTATTTCTGAATGTCTGCTGAACGTTCAAAATGTCCAGGTTTGTAAATGTTTTTTTATTGGTTACACAAACGCTACAGGAACGCTACATTGTATCATTTTGTAAACATTATGGGAACGTTACTTTTGAATGTTCTCTGAACGTTCTGAAACAAGTAGCAGCATTTAAACCATGTTAGATGGATTATGTATAAATAACATAATTTTGAGAGCATTATTAAAGACCTGATAACATTCTATTAAAGAGATAGTTTGCCCCAAAATGAGAATTCTGTCATCGTTAACTCACTCTCGTCTTTCCAAACCTCTATGACTTTCTTTCTTCTGTTGAACACAAAAGAAGATATTCTGAAGAATGTTGGTAACCAAACAGTTGACGGTAGCCATTGACGTGTATAGTGTGGAAAAAATACTATGGAAGTCAATGGCTACCGTCAACTGTTTACTGTCCCTTTAAGATTACTGGAAGAACGTTTACTCAGAACTTTGGCAGAATGTTCTGAGAACGTTTCCTGTTTGCTGGAGCCATGCTTACGTCTTTACATCTCTCTCTGTGTGTGTCAGGCATTAACCGCTGTCCGCGCGACTCTCACTGCAGCCGCTGGACGGAGATCTTCCCCAGCGCTCAGGACATGTGTGAGAAGATCTGGTCAAACTCCTACAAGTACACCACGCTCACCAAAGACAGCGGCCGCTGCATGCAGATGTGGTTCACGGGTCCGAACCCCAACAGAGAGGTGGCTGAGTATTACCTGAGTGGCGGTCCGGAGACGGTTGCCATGGCAACAGGCCTGCAGGTGTTTGTGCTGCTGGTGATGCTGCTGCGCTGACCGGATCACAGTCACACCTGAGAATAAATGTCTAAAGACCAACGCAATGCAGGACTGTTGATTTTCTGTGCATGTATCTAAGCCAAAGCAGAATTCAAAATGCTTGTTTATGATTAAGCCACTTTCATGTGCTAAACCATGTGACTTTGAGTAACATGATGTAATCTATATTGATAATCTGTTTATTGATGTAGATTTGTTGAACTACTCCAGGATGTCTATTGATTAGAAAATAATTACTAATAATAATAATTATTCATTTTATTGGGTGACATTATTTGAAAAGCATCACTTACTGACTACAGTGGTGTTCAATACATGGGGTTAAAAAATGTGAAACTACATTAACAGAACTAATTCTGGCATAAAATCTATGAATAACTGAATTTATATATATATATATATATATATATATATATATAGATATTATGTCAAAATATAAATGTTTATTGAAAATAAATATGAACTTTAAACAACATGCAATAATTATATAAGTAAAATAAAATAATTATTTTATTTATACAATTATTGCATGTGGTCTAATAAAATAAAATTATAAAATATAACACCAATAATTTATATTATTTTGCACAATTATTGCATGTTGTCTAATAATATAATAAATAATTGTTTCATTTTTATTTCATTATTTATTTTATTTTAATTATAAAATGACTGCATGTTGTGTAACGGAATAAAATAAAATATATAATACAATAAAATATTTAAAATAGCAATTATTTGTAAATAAAAAAAATTATAAAATAAAATAATTAATCTTAATTTTATTTTATTAAACAATATGCAAAAATATAAATAACATAATAAAAACACAACAAAACAAAACAAGGGGGTGCAAGTAAAGCAGAGCATGTCCAGCTGTTCTCTTGTGTTGTGTCAGTGAACCGACAGGTGGAGGTTTAGGAGCGACAGTCCAGAGATGGCCAAACCGCAGTGATTATTACTCATTTAACGCTTCTCATGGAGAAGATGTGCACATTTGCCAGCTCTCAGGAAGGAAAGTGCGGTTCAAACGGCTTAACAGACAGAAAAACACTCAAATGTAATGAGAAGGTCTAGTAGCATCATACACAATCTAGTTATGATTCTTTTTCTATGTAATTTCTCTCTCTTATAGACATGATCTGATAGAAAATCCACACCACAAATCTATTATTTATTTATCAATACTGATGTTGGTACTTCAACTCCTTCTGTAGTGTGACACCATTATGATCTTTATGATAATTAAATTCAATAAGCCTATAATTCACCAAACATCACACTATGAAAACAACAACATAAAACAGTAAATCTAAGTTATCTTGTAATTAAAAATGAAATGCAATTTATTTTATTGTATTGTCTAATAAAATAATATAAAAACTACATTCTCAAAAAGGTAAACCTCATATTTAAATGAATATGAATTAAAATGAATAGTTATCACTAAATAAATAAATACATAGGATCTTTTTACACACTTAAATGTCCAGTGTTTAAACTGTTTTAAAAACATTTTAAATCTTTTAAAACATTTAAAAATCATTTTCTTGATGATGTGAACGTTAAGGAAATGTTACATTGTATCATTTTGCAAACATTATGGGAATGTTACTTTTGAATGTTCTCGTAGCGTTCTGAAACAAGTAGCAGCATTTAAAACGTTAGTGTCCAACTAAAATGTTTCAGAAATAAAACTTTCCATGAGTGATGTATAAAATAATGTCTTTGTGCACGTTTTGAGAACATTAAAAACAAAACTTATTTAAAAAATGATAACTTAAAAAAAGGAAAGTTTGTTCATAACTTTGTGTGAGAGTGTACTGGTTTATATATCCTGGTGGGGACTTAACCCTGAATACACACAGACTCATTGGGACTCGTGTCACGGTGGGGACCTAAATTGAGGTCAAAAGGCTTATAAATCATAAATCGATAGCTACATGGAGGAGAGTGGGGAGAAAATTACAAGACACACTTTGGCAGAATTACAAATAAAAATAATAAAAGAATCAGGATGCTTTCTGGAGCAGAGTATATAGAACAGTCCGCTATATCACCAGCAAAGGATAGTAATACTAGTAAATTTTGACCTTGTGGGGACATTTTTGAGGTCCCCATTAGCAAACAAGCTTATAAATCATACAGAATTAGTTTTTTTTTTGAGAAAGTAAAAATGCACAAAGTTTTCTGTAAGGGGTAGGTTTAGGGGTAGGGTTGGTGTAGGGCAATAGCACATACAGTTTGTACAGTATAAAAACCATTACGCCTATGGAATGTCCCCATAAAACATGGAAACACAACATGTGTGTGTGTGTGTGTGTGTGTGCGCGCGCCCCTGCTGTCGGATGTGTGTGTTTTCTCTCTCATGGAGGATTTTCAGGAACTAAAAGGGGAGCAGGAGAATCTCTGAAACGTGACGCGCGTGGCCCGCGGCTCCTGTGCGGCGTCAGCAGCGGATCCGGAGCGTGTCTCGGTGGAGTGTGGGTTCGGCGATGGCCGGCGCGTCTCCCGCTCCGCAGCTCTGGTATCACCGGGATCTGAGTCGCGCCGCGGCGGAGGAGCTGCTCGCTCGCGCCGCGCGGGACGGGAGTTTCCTGGTGCGGGACAGCGAGAGCGTCAGCGGCGCGTATGCGCTATGCGTGCTGTAAGAACCCTGCTTTATACACATATCAGCTTATATATCCAGAACGCGTCAAATTTAGTGCAACAGAAGTGTGTTTGTGAACTTTCTTTCTTTCTTTCGCACCCTGCTTTACGCTGAATGCGAGCGACGCGTCTGTAACAGGAGCGTTGCGGTCGCGTCGCGTTGAGCGAAACGGGCGGTTTGTGTAGTTTGAGCAACAGATTGTTTTATAAAGTTACAGTACGTCTATATAAGAAGACTTTGGAAGTTGCTGTTTGAGCGCTCGATGTTATTCTTGTCTAGCTAAACCAAGGCGTGTAGTTTTGTGTTGTTGTTGTTTCATAAACGCGTGTTTAGTTTAGCTGTAGCTAAAGCAGAACGCTACCAGGGTTTATTCAGTGAAGTAAAGTTCACCTCAGTGTTCTAGTTTAAAATCCAAACACTTGGAGATGGCCACGCAGAGATCACGTGACCAGTGTGACCTCCACCTCATGCATAAAAATAACCAGCACAGTGCCGTGCTATTCTGTGAGAAGAGCACACGGCTGAAATAGTTCTGCAGGCTAGAAAAGTGAATACAGTTTCCATTATGGATTTAGATGTGAGTTCTGCTCTGTTCTAAATCCTTGCATTGCTAGAAATATGCAGAGAAACTTGTTTGCAAGCCATTGCAACATTTGCTGTCAAAATAAATCACTCTATTGAGTTGAATCTTCTTGATGCATTGGTCAAATCAGCGTCCAGATTTTTCATTTTGATTATGCAAATATTTTCAAGGCATTTTCAGTTTATATAAATTAAAATTTGTAAAAAATCTGTATGCAGTAATCGCAAATGCCTGTGAAGGTCATTGAAGAGAAATCATCACTGACAGAAATCCAACCTGATCCATTGAGAAAATGTTAGTATATTATGGGATTTTGTAGACATTTGTACAGTGTGATTTGCATGTAAATGTACGATTTTTGGAAAAAAAGTAAACATAACGTTGCACCCCAAACCTGAGCATCAGTGTGTAAACAGATCGTACGAAAACGTGATGACATTGTACGAATTATGCAAATTAGCAAAACATATAGTTACGAATTGTCTTGGAAATTCAGAGAAGTTTATTGGTCAAAAAGTTAGCCAAAGTTCTGAGAACAGTTAGCTGAAAACCTTCTCAGGACGTTCTTGCAAGGTTCTCTCAAAGTTATGTTCTCCTGGTAACGTTTATAGAACTTCGTTCAGAGTTATCTGTCTTTAATAATGTTCTCAAAACGTTATTTATACATTGTTGATGGAATGTTTTTTTCCGAAATGTTTCAGTTGGACATTCGTCTAAATGTTTTAAATGTTGCTACTTGTGTCAGAACGCACAGAGAACATTCAAAAGTAACGTTCCCATAATGTTTGCAAAACGCTCAAAAAAAAAAAAAAAAAAAAAAATGTTTGGAATATTCGGACAACATTCAGAAATAATGTTAATAACTTAATGGGAACTTTAGGAAAGCATTCTTGGAACAGGATTACTATGGTATATTACTCTCTAAAATGAGATCAAATAAACGGTTAGCTCATATTTCTCTAATCAAAAGAAAGAAATAATTTATTCAATTTTTCAAAAAGCAAATGAAGCCTGTGTGTATTGGATGTGTTTTTATGAGATTCACTGAATGATTCCAGCTGAAAACATTCTGGCAAGGTTCTGAAAGGTATGAAGGTTTTAGTAACGTTAATATAACGTTCACTCAGAGTGGTCTGTTTGTTAATAATGTTCTCAAAACATTAGCAGAAAAACATGATTTATACTTCGTTCATGGAATGTTTTATTTCTGAAACGTTTTAGTTGGATGGTTATCTAATGTTTTTTAAATGTTACTCTTGTTTCAGAACGTTCCGAGAACAGTCAAATGTAACGTTCCCATAATGTTTGCAAAATTATAAAATGGAATGTTCCCTCAATGTTTGCATAACCAAAAATAAACGTTAATGAAACATTAAAAAAACTGTTGAGAGAGAACATTCAGAAATAATGTTTTTATAACTTAATGGGAACGTTAGCAAAACGCCAGGCCATAAAACAAAAAAACAGTTTGTTTCTGAATGGAGTGTGTGGTGTGTGTGTGTGAGTGTGAGTGTGTGAGTGTGTGTGTGTGTGTGTGTGTGAGTGTTGCTGGTGCTCGTCTGAAGTGTTTGGACGTGCGAGTGTTTAGTCGGGGCTGTTTTTACAGCAGTGAATGCGTCACAACACGCTCACATTTCTGAATGACGGCGCTGTTGGCATGAAACGTTCCGTACAGACGCAGGGAGATCCTACCAACACGCTTGTGTGTGTGTGTGTGTGTGTGTGTGTGTATGGACTGGCACAACAGATGAACTATTTTAAGCAGTTGCTGCGTCTCTCGCGCCAGCTGTGAAAAACAGAGCGTGTGTGTCTGAGCTTCTTTGTTTTTGCCAAACACTCCTAGAGGAACCAAACACGTGCTTCTCTGAGTTTTACATGTTCTGAAGGAAATCTGAGTTTGACCATGCAAAACACGCTGGGGGAAATGGTGCATCTGATCACTTAAAACAACAACATCGCAGCTCTACTCAACAACACATGGTTTGAGGAATCATTGATGTCTGGAGCACAAACGCTGCACTTACACACTTAAGTACGAACTGTGCTTATGATTCACAAGTGTTTTCACAGGACATACGGGTGCTATTTGATACATTCAGATTTTATCTGCATGCAAACATTCAAACAAAAATGATGTGAAAAGATTCATCTTGGTCCAGTGTTTTTTACTATTATAGTTTTTAAGAATATTTTTTATTTGTGCATTTTCCATTTTACTTTAGTTAAAAGTTTAGTAAAATAGTCACATTTTTGCCATTTTTAATGAGTTTTTGTTGTTTTTAAATTCGTATATAGTTTTTATTCATTTTTATTTCAGTTTTAGTTTATTTTTGGACATATAGTTAAACTATATGCAAATGGAACATTTTGCCTTTGCAACTAGATACATTTAAAAGAAACATTTTATTTTATTTCTTTTAAAATGTATTTTCTTTCAAACAAAAATGAAGATATGCTGAAAATGCGCTCACCCTCAGATCATCCGAGATCAGGATGAGTTTGCAATGCTACATTTCTACAAATCTGATGAAGAAACAAACTCATCCTGATCTTGGATGGACAGAGGGTGAGTGCATTTTCATTTTTGGGTGAACTATTCCTTTAACATGCAAGTTTTTTGAGTTCATATTTTGGTTCATCTGCTGCTTGTAAATAGTAAGCATTACCAAAAGGTTGATCTTCTCTAATACAGCCTCACGTGTGTGTGTGTGTGTGTGTGTGTCTGTGTGTGTGAGAGTGTGTGTGTGT